CACTACTCCGTGTTTTTGTGCGGCTAGTTCTTATTTTTAAAAATAAAAAAACGTTGATCACATAGCTCTTATTCTATTATATCTGCATTCATTTATTTCTTATTTCGATTAAACGACACAATATGTGTTATGTGCCTATGTCGTCTTATCTATCTTTTTAAAATGAAGAGGTAAAAGAGAGACAGATCTTCATAATGCCAAAAAAAGAAAACCTCCTAGCTCACTGACGAAGAACAAAATACACACGCACTGGTTACGCCTGATGGATTACATTTTCACCTTTATTTAACTGTAAATAGAAAAAAGATCCAATCCACTATCAGGGCCCCACACGTTATCAACAGTATGATGATGGAGTGCTAAGTTATGAAGGAGAAGAAAAGCTAGACAGACTTGCCATCAAAATAGTCTCGTGTCACCATGAAATTAGCACTATTTAGTTAGACCAAGAAGTTATATGCGAGCTTTGTTAGTGTTTTTGTCACAAACAAATTATGTGTATTTGACAATAAAGATATTGCATAACTACGGTTATATTTTTTTTGTGATAGTCCATATTTTTGTTGGATCCTTTACAACACCACAAATAGAAACCTACAAGTACACACACGGACTATAATACTATGAATTACTAGTAAAGATTGAAAGCAGTTTAAAAACGCACTGACGAGAAATATTCAGAATGTAAATAACTCCAGAAAAGTGAATGCTATTGTTTAAAGTCATTTCTATAAGATCATAATCCAAATTGTTATTTGTTAATTAGCTGTAATTAAATGGTGTGCATTTGTTAATTGTCATTTTTTTGTCGGGTGAGGGATTAATTATTACTGATAAATGAAATAAAAACACCTGATTAACTATCCATCATGTGTTAATTAGATGAAAGCTTGTGCCGAACCGTCTGGAGAAATCTTTTGACAATACCCGAGCTTGTCATATTAAAAACTCAAGAAAAGGTGTAGGGCTTCTCTGTTCTGTACACACTTATATATAGAGAAATTAGGAACAAGTCTATATTTTCAAATAATTCAGCATGGATTCGTATCAGCCACCATCTGTAAATCGTGCTATTTGTACCATTGGTTGCATTTGCTGTACCAGACTTATCGCCCACAATGAGACCTGCATCTGCTGGAAACCTGTGCCATCAACAACAGTTTCAACACAGACAGATCCTGGTATCAGTTATGGGTACACTTCCAATTCATACTTTACCAGAGGAAATGCTGCCCATTCCATGCTACATTTAAGTATCTCAAGTGCTAGTTAGTATTCAATTGTAATTGCCATATTTATTTTAAAGGATGTATATGAGAGGTAAACGGACAGAAAGTCACAAATTTAATAGGACAAAAAGTCACAATTATTTGTTTGTAATTGTTTGAATAAGGTAAATAAATGTTCTCGAAATAATTTCTATTTATTGTATATATTCATTTTAGTTTCTGATATTGTTTATAAGCATTGATAAATGAAGATATATCAACTTTGAGGCATGTAGAGGATATATCTATTGACACCTTTAAGGTATTTCAGGACCAAGTCACTTTTCCAAATTGTATTTTTAAACACGATTTTATCATTATTGATCATTTTAGAATACATTTTGTTTAAAAACTTGCCCTATATATAATTGTTCAAGATAAATACAAAATTGGTTTTTAAATAAATGTTCTCTTATTCAAAGAAAAGATAATATAATAAAATGCTTCGCTGGGCGCAGCTTGATACGACCGCAGAGGTCGAACCCTGAACAGTTGGGGCAAGTATGGACACAACATTCAAGCTTGATACAGCTCTGAATTTGGATTGTGATTAAATATTTGTCACAGCATAGGTTTCTGACACAGAAAGAATGTGGTCTAAGAACTTCAATTTTTTTAATTTACCTATTATGGTCCAATGTCCAAAATCAAAATACATGGTTAGATTCAGCATATCAAAGAACCCCATATATTCAATTTTTGTTGAAATCAAACAAAGTTTAATTTTGGACCCCAACTTGGACAAACTTGAAAACTGGTCCCATAATCAAAAATCTAAACACATGTTTAGATTTAGCATATCAAAGTACCCCAAGAATTCAATTTTTGTTAAAATCAAACTAAGTTTAATTTTGGACCCTTTGGACCTTAATGTAGACCAATTTAAAAAACGGGACCCAAAATTAAAAATCTAAAAATACGGTTAGATTTGGCATATCAAAGAACCCTAATAATTCAATTTTTTATGAAATCAAACAAAGTTTAATTTTGGACCCTTTTGACCTCAATATGAACCAATTTGATAGCGGGCCCACAAATAAAAAATCTAAATACATGGTAAGATTCAGCATATCAAAGAACCCCATATATTCAATTTTTGTTGAAATCAAACAAAGTTTAATTTTGGACCCCAAATTGGACCAACTTGAAAACTGGGCCAAAAATCTAAAATCTAAATACATGTTTAGATTCAGCATATCAAAGAACCCCATATATTCAATTTTTGTTGAAATCAAACAAAGTTTAATTTTGGACCCCAACTTGGACAAACTTGAAAACTGGGCCCATAATCAAAAATCTAAACACATGTTTAGATTCAGCATATCAAAGAACCCCAAGAATTCAATTTTTGTTAAAATCAAACTAAGTTTAATTTTGGACCCTTTGGACCTTAATGTGGACCAATTTAAAAAACGGGACCTAAAATTAAAATTCTAAATACACGGTTAGATTTGGCATATCAAAGAACCCAAATAATTCAATTTTTGATGAAATCAAACAAAGTTTAATTTTGGACCCTTTTGACCTCAATATGAACCAATTTGATAGCGGGGTGCACAAATAAAAAATCTAAATACATGGTTAGATTCAGCATATCAAAGAACCCCATATATTCAATTTTTGTTGAAATCAAACAAAGTTTAATTTTGGTCCCCAATTTGGACCAACTTGAAAACTGGGCCAAAAATCAAAAATCTAAATACATGTTTAGATTCAGCATATGAAAGAACCCCATATATTCAATTATTGTTAAAATCAAACAAAGTTTAATTTTGGACCCTTTGGACCTTAATGTAGACCAATTTGAAAACTGGACCCAAAATTAAAAATCTAAATACACGGTTAGATTCGGCATAACAAATAAATAAATGTGGTCAAAGATTTTACAAATCTAATGCTCCATACTGGTCTTCCTTTATAAATATGCATTTCTCTAAACATAATTTAAAAGCAGTGTAAGGGAAGTAACCAAAACGTTGTATTTGGATTACCTCCCTTACACTGTTTTAAATTATCTTAATTGTTCATTAACCATTACTTTATAGATAATTTAAAAGCAGTGTAAGGGAGATAATTTCAATGATGCATTTGATTTATCTCCCTAACACTGCTTTAAATTATGTTTTGTACTAAAGTATTTGTCCATTAATGAGGACAACCTTGTTTTTCCCCCCTTTTTTGCCCCTAATTCTTAAACGGTTTGAGCAATAACCCCCCAAAGCAAATCCTAACCATCCCTTTGTGGTATGGAAACTTGTAGTATAATTTCAGAAAGATCCATACACCGTTCCACAGTTATTGTCTGGAAACTAGAAAATGCTTATTTTTGGCCCCTTTTTGGCCCCTAATTCCTTACCTGTTCTTAACTTAACCTTCCTTTTGTGGTATTGAACCTTATGGTAAAATTTCATAGAGTTCCATTCACTTAAACTAAAGTTAGAGTGCGAAAACTAATGTGTCTTCGGACGACGACGCCGGACGACGACGACGACGACGACGACGACGACGCCAACGTCATACCAATATACGACCACAAAAATTTTTTTGCGGTCGTATAAAAACTGATTGTGACTTTCTGTCCTACATTCATACGAGAGTGCCATGTAATTTGGTATACTCTGTGCACAAGAATAAAGATTGGACAATGTTTTGCATGTAGATAAGAGTCGTAGGAAATATAGGCATCACAATATTTTTATTTCAAATATTTTTGAAACACAATATTAGTTACTCAGTGTGCTGGAAGTGACTTATTTGATATATATGGGGTAAGTCAATTTCATATGGGGTGAAAGTTGACCTATTACTTAAGTTCCTTAGAAATGGACTCATATTGCATGTCTTGAAAAATTTAACATTAATCGTTTGATCCAATCTGATGAGATGTTGGGTAGATTTTTCATTGGCAATTACATCACAGCCTGTTTTATATTTGTTTACCTGTGATTCTTTCATTGATATATGAACCTTTATTCATAAAGTGAGATAAATCTCCCCTTTATGATGCATTTTCGATTTTCAACCGAAAGCCAGACAATGAAATTCAAAAGGCATATCATCAGAAATATAATTTATTTCATTATTTGAAAGAAATATATATATTATATCTACATACAAATAATTTTATAACTTTTTTAATCAATTAATAAGTTATTGCAAACAGAGCACAAATAGCTATATTTCTATCAATCTCATTAGCATAATCATTCAACATGCAAATACAAAAGTAGTTTCTACATCCCTGAGGAAAACAAAATTGAAGTTGGAAAATTGATTTTTTTTAATAAAATATATATAGGGAAGTTATCTGGACCTATAGGTGCCTAACTAATGAATAAAAATAATCACCTAATTGTTGAAATATATTAAATTCAGGTAAGTATTTAGTTTATAGGACTCATATCAATAAAATAAAGAATAAAAAACAACAAATAACCATAAAAAAAGATTATGGAACTGTGTCTTGAAATTAATTATGCAAAGGGGTCATTCATGTATATTTGAAATATGAAGCATTATACATAAAACTTATAGTAAAGTGAGATAAACATACTTTTGACACACATCTGCAGCCTTTCTTACAGCATATACAGTATTCTTATTGAGATTTTGTTAAATTCTTTTAATGATAATGTCAAATTACATACTACATTAAAAAACAAGAATGTGTTCATAGTACACAGATGCCCCACTTGCACTATCATTTTCTGTACACAGATGGACCATGCACTATCATTTTCTATAATCAGTGGACCATAAAATTAATGTCAAAACTCTATTTGATATTAAAACTAGAAAGATCATATACTAAGTTTCAATTGATTGGACATCAATTTCATCAAAAACTACCTGGACAAAAAACATCAACCTAAGCTCGACAAACAAATGAGCAAACAGACAAACAGACGCATAGACCGTTTCACATAATGCCCTAGGTAGGGCCAAAAAACTAAACTGAAACAGCCAAGTTTATAACATTAGCTAAACATATTATTTTTACTAATTACAATTTTTTAATTGACATCATTACATGTACAATATAATATATATAAAGTATAGAAAACAATTGAACATAGATCAACATAATCAATTTCAATCCTTCAATGATACTGATGCACTGACAAAATAGAGCCGGTTGCTTTCCTTTCCAACGACCTGGGGAGCACTGACATCCTGCAATAAAAGAGGTCTCTGCGAAATAAACTGCTCACTCGTACTCCAAAATCCATTTTCAAACTTGACATCATCATAAATATCCACCAAAAGCCATGTGTAGCTTTTTCCATGCCAAGAGTGTTCAAATATTTTAGAAATGTTACCAAACAGTATATCTGACAGTGAATTGACACAATTTTGATTTGCGACAAAATCATCTCCTATTTTCACTGCATACACAAATGTGTCTGATGATCTCTGCTTTGTAACAGAAGAGTACTTCATCTCTCTTCCTGTGTTCCCATATAACTTGGTACAACAACTAACTTCCTTGCCTTCATTTGTCATTCGTTGTAGTAGACAAAAATCGTATATCTCGGACATATGTGACAGAACAGTATCCGGAATGAAAAACTTTTTCCCAATTGAAGTTTTCATCTCATCTATTACCTCGTCCAGCAGGAGTTTTTCTAGTTTTCCAATATTGATGTCATCTTGCTTTATCTTCCCTGACATTATCATAAAAACACACCAATCATATATCTGAAAATTGAAATACAAACATCAATATGCGGTATTGGCTTTGCTCATTGTTGAAGGACGTATGGTGACCTAAGGTTGTTAATTTCTGTGTCATACGGTCTCTTGTGGAGAGTTGTCTCATTGGCAATCATACCACATCTTCTTTTTTATATCAATAGTTTATAATAATAAACTGGGAATGTGTCCCCATGGACACAGATGATGCCCCTCTTGCATATCATATAAGGTTGAAAAGGGATATAACTGAAGAACAGAAAAAGTGACACTATCTAGATTTGTACGTACTTGATATGAGTTTTGTGGTAATATGTATTGTGAATAAGGTTCATAACATTTGGTTGGGACAAACTTAAAGATAGAGAACAAAAACAGTGAAAAAAACTAAAAAGTCAGCAAATTTTCAATTTGTAAAGGGGCAAAACTCTAGAACAGTAAAAGTGAAGCCACCAAACTTTTGACACTACAGGGGTTCAAATTAGTAGTCGTCAGAGGTCCATGACCTTCCCACTGGTAGTTAGTTACAACCCACAGACTTTCTTACTTTTGCAGGTTAAACAAATTACAAAAGCATTTTGAACAAAACAAGGTTGGCAAAAAAGCGGTCAATACTAGTATTGACCATGCCGGCGGTAAATACTGGCAAATACTGGTCAATTGAAATTTTGATAGGATTTTACTATAAAAACTAGTCCCTACCTCAGGTCAATTACTTGGTAAATGGATAGATATATATAGTCACAAGGCAGAAAGTCACTTATTTACTAAATTGTACTAGGACAAAAAGTCACAATTTATTAGTTCATGAACATGGTTTAATGAAGATTAATCAAATATTAATTTAATCATACAACATATATAGTCATTAACACCATGAAGTCAGTCACTTAAAAGAGACTATATAACATCTGGTTTTCTTAACAGTTATTTTGAAAGATGCAATTAAAAAAAATATAAAAATTGTTTTATATATATATATATATATATATATATATATATATATGTTATATATTTATCAAAAAAGAAAACATTTCCTGAATTTAGAAGATTTTTATCATGCTGTTGAATAGTCAGGAATTAATTCATTGTTTAAAACAATGTTCAGAAATCACTTTTATGACCTTTTTCCTGTTATGTCAACATTTATTAGGTTGTTATAGTAATTAAACTTTTGACACCTGTTAGCCATAAAATAGGTAATGCTCTGATAATCTATATTGCTAGTCACTTGTAATTCTATTTACCTGTAAAATTCAAACCTTTTCAAGAAAAAAATATCTTGATTTATACAAAATAACTGATATAGCAATTTTATATGTATACCAAAAGTATGCAATATCATTACCCCTAAGAACTAAATTAATCATTTTTAATGTTTTAATAGTTAATAAAATACCAATATCATTCTTTTTTATAAACTGAATCATGCCAAAGGAATAAAGTTTTCCCTCATCAACCAATTTTTTACTAGTATTGATAGATAATTAAGTCAGTCAAAAGAAGCATGAAAATTTCAATTGACCAGTATTTGCCAGTATTGACCACTTGGGGAGTATCGTCCGGGGCGGTAAATACCGGTAAATACCACTGGTAAATACCAGGGGGGGTAAATATCGCCCAACCTTGGAACAAAAATATATATCAAAATCATCTTTAAAAGTAACTATACTGAAAGGGAACTTATGATGTTGCTTAGATCAGTTGTGTAGTCATGTGATGGGTTGTCATACAAGATACTAGGAAACTGGAGAATATAATATTATAACATAACTAGTAAGCAGTATGAGTCTGTTTGTTTTTTTACTAATTGAATTCTCAACATGCTCAATAAAAACTGAACCTTCAAAAAATAAAGGAGGGCCTTTAAGTACTTTTGGTGAAAGGTCCTGGACCTTCCTTTGCCTGAAGTAAATTTGAACCCCTGGACTATGTTGTCTAAGATACAAATACTTACAGCATAAGTTTCCATGATGGTTGCTTCTATTTTGTTCTTGTTCAATGCTTGGCGTGTGATCCAACTATTTATCCTTTCAAAGGGAAATAACCACCTCCCGTACAAAGGTCCAAAATCAGCATATCCTTCTGGAATGTGGTGCATTAAATGAGTAGTAATTGTCTGAAAAGTAAGAAAATATTGTTTCTTTACCATGTGTTAGAAATATTATGTTCATGATTTGACAAATTAACACATGCAATAAAACTTTAGTAAAAAAACAATTGTGCACTATACATGCTAAAACAGGAATAATAAATAATAGTAATTATATATAAAGGAAGATAATGTAAGTCATGAAGTTTGCATTTGTATAATACAAATAATAAAAGTCAGAAATGTTTTTACTTGGATTTACAAAATATTTTTTAAGTTTCTGCATTAAAGTTGTAGTAAAACAAAAAAAAAACTGTAAAGAATAATACTGTTGAAAATATATAATTTGCTTTATTCTATAGACCTCTTATAAGTCATGTAAGCAGTTCCATTTTACCTGGGAACAGTATATCTAACAATATGTAATAATATATATGTTCCTGATTTTACTGACCTAAAATAATTTTTAGCATGCAAAATACCCAAAATTTCCAAGTCAATAGACCATGACTGTAATTTTGGCAACATTATTTACCTGTAAGGCAATAGGGAAATCTCTCTCCAACAAAGACATAGCTTCACTTGTGAACTGTATAATATCATCTAATTCATCACTGTCATAGCTTTCGTGTGTCATCATATCAATAGCTGAAAACAGCTTTCTAAGTGTATTTTCCTGTCTCTTTGGCAGTAGTCCTCGCAAGCACCATAATGCAGCACCACTTTTGACAAACTAAAAGAAAATTTTTCATTTTAAAATCACCATACTAAAGTATCTGTCTAACATTGTCTATGATATCTTAGCAGGAAACAATTTCAAGAAATCGTACAAGACTATAATATTTGTATAGAAGGCACATAAAATGAGCAAAACATGCTTACATTTGTCTTAAAATCATTAAATTTTCCTTTGATTGATAACAAATGATCATAGGACAATGTAGGATAAATGCTTATCAACAGAAAAAATATGCAGGACTTTCTTACTAACCAATAAGCTTTAACATGTTTAGACTATGTTAATTAAAAAAAAATCTGGAAGGCCAAGGCTCATGTGGAATTCATTAAACTTTTTTTCGAAATGGGACAATGGTGTTTATTTTCATTCATTTTTATTTTGTTTAATTGTTAATCAACATGTTTTAACAAACATTTTTTTTAATCAACTGCCTTGATCATGTTGATAGTTATGTTATGTATACAGCTTTATTTTATAAAACTGAATGACAGATCATTCAAGAAATGTGAAAAAGAAGCTATCAACATTAACCATGTTAATATTTGATTTTTTTCTGAGTCACAAATTTCCTTAAAACAGCTGTCATATTCACGATTGTGAACATTGGGATGTATCAGGCAATTGATTTATATTAGTGGCAACACTAATTTTGCTTTTGACACGAGTTCAGTTAATTTTTCACTTTACGACAGAAATAAAATGACTTAGGGCGCTCAAAAGAAGGGTCGGTCAGGTAACCGTTAACAGACATATTTTTTTTTTGGCCTTACGTGGTGTTAAATCAATGCTATCACCAGTGATTGCTTAAATCTGAGTTTAAGTAGAGAACTTGTATCAGGCTATTTTTTTTTAATCTGTTGGTTTATGAGCTGCCCACCCATTTCGCTAATCTTTAGGAAATCACAAATAATTTTGTTATCTTTTTATCATGTGTGTCTCTTAAAATGCAAAATGCACAAATTAAACCCATCTCATTGCATCATTTTATCGATATCTATGACAATGACATGCTTTGTATCCCCTTTTAAGTTTAAAACCAATGAAACAAATGTTTGCCAATTAAATTCAAGGAATGATGACAAAAAAAGAGAAGATAAGTATTGTTAAAATCTAGTTTACAATGTGACAGTAGAATAATTCTATTCATATTTAGCATGTTTATGTCTTGCAAAATTCTTTTATTTCTTTTTCTAACTTATCGTATAATAGACCAGAATTTTTTACATAAAATACTGTAAACCAACAAATTAAAAAACCAATATCCTCAGTAAACATGGCAATGCTGTTGAAATAAAGGAAACAATATTTACCTGATGTTTTCCATGCATTGTCCTCAATGTCCAAGGCTTCGAAAAATGATTGTCTGCCAGGTAATCGTATCCTATTGGGTAAACAAGGTTTTTAGCTCTTGTATCTGCCACCTTCAAACCAGGCTTGTCCACCTTCCATGGTGCCTTTGGTAACTCTTCACCTATCTCTGTTTGCAGTTTTTGCTTTTTCTGCTTGGCATTGCTTTGGTTGTCATTTTTTCTTTTTCTGGTAACTTCTGAACATGGTTCAGCATCTTCGTCATCTCTTTTAATCCAGGTTTCTTTAAATCGATTAAAATCTTCTTCACCATTTCTCACTTTCTTGTTGTCATCTTTTCCTGTTACCATTCCCAATACATTCCCTATGACATCTGCAATGGTATGCATACCATCAGGCTGCATTTGTTCTTTCCTGTTGTGGTATGGCAGTCTCATAAAACTATAAGTACCTTTTAACCCGGTCTGTTTTTGAAGAATGGATTTTTGATTTTGATTGGGTAAACCATCATACCGACTTCTTATTTCCAGTTCTTCTTCCTTAGTAAAGGATACAGGTTTTGATGACGTTTCTTTTCCCTTTAAGGCAAATTCATTTTCATTGTTTCTAAGGTCATGTTGTAATGGCAGAAATGGTCTGTTATGCAAATGCACCACCTTGTGCAACGACTTACAGTATTGTCCTTCTTCCTTACAATAAGGACATCCACGTAAGGCTGTCTGGCTGGACACATGTAACACTTTGCTAAATGCAGGAACATCACAAAGATATTGTAACAGGGCAACTTTTACAGTTGTTGGAGCTCCTTTGTAAGCATCATACATGGTGCATGTTGACAATTCCAACAGTTCATCAACTAGGACATCTAAATAAGGATCCAAGTTCTTTGGTTCCTCAGTTTTTGTTCCAGGCACAATTCCAACAAGCATCATTGGTCCTAGGATGTACCTTACTGGAATAGGTAAATTAAGCCACGTTAACATCAATGGCCACATTGACTTCTGTGTTGCCATACTTTTATGTGGATTGAGACCATCACAAAATAATGCTAACGGCACAGTGCAACGTTCTTCTGTATCTTCAAATACACCTCCTCTCTGAAACCATGACTTATAAAGATTGCCATCAGCAATATCAGACAGCTTCCCATTACTCAAATCTGGTCTTGAAAACATCAGTTTGCAAATATAGTCATCACCGTATATCCTGACTAACCGTGGTCCAAGAGGCATATATGTGTAGGTTTTTCTAGCAGAAGGTGAATGGTCGCTATAATTTGCTTCACCACATTTACCACATTCAACATCCATAGAATAGTCAGAGGCATTTGTTTTCCGGAATAGCTGACAATCATTGATACAAGCATCATATGTTGTAGTTTTAATCAGCAATGGTTTTAACAGTTTATAGTCATTTTTGTAGGAGCCTGGAAGACAGTTAGGCTGTGGCAACACTTTTTTTCATTTCTTAGGCACATGTCTAGAGCTTTCTTAGACATACCATTATTGCTGCTAAAGTTCACAAAATGTCGAAATAATGAATCTAGTAAAGTTGTTTTGCTTTCTCTGTACAATGGTTGATTAAGGTTTTCACCCTTATACAATTCTTTGTCAAGACTGCTAATAAATTGTGGCTGAAGATATGGTGATTCCTTTATCTTACTGTCAATGAACTTATTGAAGAATAACTTCTGATGTCTTCTCTGTGTAGACTGACTTTTACTGACATCTGAAAGAATTAATAAAGAAATCATGAAATCATGTTAAAGAACCAATTGTTGTTTATTTTCATGACAAAGCATTGTAATGTATGAGGTCCAGATTATTTATTTTTTTGGGGGTGGGTGTCTGTTCATTTCTTTCATTTATCTATTTTTCTTTATCAATTTGGCTAATATTCAATACTCCTTTAATATTTTTGCACGCCATCATGCTCTATTCAATATTTTAGGGCCTAGTTTTCTATATAAATCTTTATTTTTTTGTTATAGTTTGTACACTTCTTGTCCAGTCAAGCCAGTATTCTCTATTCTGTAAACCCAATGCATTTAGACCTATACTTGCCATAAGTGAATCATAATTTTAAAGTCTTTAATATTTAGGATTACTACAAATATGAAGTTAATTTTTTTTCAGTAGTTTCTGAGAAATTTGTGCACCCATTCGGGCCAATTAAATTTTTTTCTTCAACATGATCAAATAAACAGCTGCTACATGATTGATGAAACACCCTTTTTTTCTTCATAGAACAAAGTTCAATACCTTCTCAATGTCATATCAGAAATTTAAAAAAAAAAATGTGGATAGTGTCCACATGTGGACACAGATGATCCCCCGGCTTGCATACAATAGAGTTTAAGGGACATAACTGAAGAACGGTAAAAGTGACGCTACCCAAATTTGAACTTGATCTGAGTTTTGTGGTAATAAGCATTGTGTGTAAGTCTCATATCATTTTGTTGAGGCTAACTTAAGTAGAGAACAGAAAATAAAAATTGAGCAATTTTTCTATTTGTAAACACGCATAACTCTAGAACGGTTGTGTATAAGTTTTATAACATTTGGTTGAGACAAACTAAAGTTTAAGAGAACAGAAACGAAAACTTCAGCAATTTTTATGTTTATAAAGAGACAAAACTCAAGATTGGTAAAAGTGATGCCACCAAATTTCGTACAGAATCTGTATTATGGGCAAACTTAAGTTACAGAATGGAAACTTAAAATTTTGCAATCTTGAGATTTATAAAGGGCATAACTCAATAATGGTTAAAGTGACACTACCCAAATTCAACTTGATCTGTGTTTTATCAGTGGAAGTCAAAATTAAACATTGCATTGTATAAAGCATTGAAGTAAGGACCAAATATTCTCCATGGAAATGAGATGTACTAATGCTTATACAACTGCATACCAATTATCATTGACCTTCCACTTACGGATCCCCTTAAACTGACTTAATCACAAACTAATACATGAAAACTTAAGCAAAAGTTTCAAAGTCAATAGACCATAACTGAGGATAATAATTTATAAAAATTCGTAAGGGTTCCGCGGAACCCAGTGTCTCGCCTACTTTTGTTGTTAATCGCAGGCTCAACAAAAATGAGGAAAAAAATTAATAAAAATATTCCTCTCTATACTATCTTTTGATTGTAAGTAGCTTCTGTCGAAGTTTGGTAAAAATCCAGGATAGTTTATGAATCTAATAAATGTTTTAAAAACTTAAACATGTTAAACTGCAGACTGTGTGTAATGTTAACTGGAAGAAAAACTAAGTCCATTTATAAGTAATATACGGGAAAAATGGAACAAAATTTTAACAAAATTTCCTTCTAGATACTATAGCTTTTAATTATAAACAAGCTTCTGTCCAAGTTTGGTACAAATCTAGGATAGTTTAAGAAAGTTGTTAACATTTTAAAAACTTTAACCACAGAGTGAATGTAATGTTAACTGGCAGAAAAACTAAGTCCATTTATAAGTAAAATACGGAAAAAATGGAATTTTTTTTTTACAAAATTTACTTCTGGATACTATCTTATGATCTTAAACAAGCTACTTTCCAAGTTTGGTAGAAATCCAGGATAGTTTAAGAAAGTTATTAAAATTTCAAAAACTTTAACCACAGAGTGAATATTTGTGGACGCCGCCGACGACGCCGACGGAATGTAGGATCGCTATGTCTCGCTTTTTCGACAAAAGTCGAAGGCTCGACAAAAATCAAAAGGGAGCTTACATCAATAGATATAAACAATTCACCAAGATTTTATGAGAACTGCTGAAAGTATTTTTGAGTTATTGTCCGAAAACTGGAAAATCCCCTGTTTTTAATGAATAAAACCCCATAACTCGAAAATGTAAAATCTAAAATTTATAAAAAATTGTAAGGGAGCTTATGTCAATAGATAAAAACAATTCAGCGAAGTTTCTTGCAAATTGGAGAAAGCATTTTTTAGTTATTGTTCGAAAACTGGAAACCCCCCCCCCCCCCCCCTTTTTAATAATGAATAAAACCCCATTTCTCTGAAACATAAAATCTGAAATTTATGAAAAACGAAAGTCAATAGATATATACATGCAATTCACCAAAGCTTTATGCAAATTGGGTAAAGTGTTTTTGAGTTAATGTCCAACATGTTGACGACGGGCGGACGGACAGACGGTCAACGGTATACCATAATATGTCCTGTAAACGGGCGTATAAAAACTATAAGAGATAGGTTGACTAGCAGCATATCATTTGTCTAACAGATTGAAGTCAAGACAAGGGAAAAACTATATGCCTTCTGACTTTCCCTCTGATTTTCATTATATGATTACTTCAAGGATTTCCTTGGTAGATACAGTTAAGCATTGTGATAATATTATCAAATGTTGCATGTATAAAAGAACAATAGCAGTAATAGATCATATTTTTTCAGAGAGCTGTCAGAAGTTTGAGCATTTTTTCAGAAAACAGACATGCAACAATTGGAATTCTGCGAGAAATGTTTCCAGAAATCAGCTCATCCCCAAGAACTAACAGAAAACTACATAGTGCTATCAGAAGAGCAAATGATAATAAGCAATATTATAGAAATCTGAAGTTAGTGGTTACTGTCACAATTTTTTGTTATATAACTAATTAGGTGTAATTGACAGATCTTTGTTAATCTGCAACTTATCTTCAAGCATGATGAAAAAAAGTGTTGAAAACTGATTATTTAAGTGAAATTTCTAAGTCCAAGGACCATTGCTCTGCACAAAATCATTAGGCCACAAAATTCAAACTTGAACTGTATAAACTTGTCTTGATAAAAATATATACCAATTATTAAATCAAAAACTATATACCAATTATTAAATCAATGTCTTCAAGAATGACAAAAGAAAAACCCTGCGGAAAACTGATTATTTTAGTGAATTTCTAAGTTCATGCACCATAACTCTGCACAAAATCATCAGACCATAAAAAAATTCTAACTTGATCATGATAAAACAATACACCAAATATCAAATCAATATCTTCAATCATGATAAAACAATACACCAAATATCAAATCAATATCTCCAATCATGATAAAACAATACACCAAATATCAAATCAATATCTCCAATCATGATAAAACAATACACCAAATATCAAATCAATATCTCCAATCATGATAAAACAATACACCAAATATCAAATCAATATCTTCAATCATGATAAAACAATACACCAAATATCAAATCAATATCTCCAATCATGAAGAAAAAAGTGTGGGAATCTGATTTGTCGGACTGACAGATGGACAGACAGATGGAGTGCAAATCTAAAGTCCCCTTTGACTTCGTGGGTAGGGGACTAAAAACAAATACATGTATATTCATGTTAGTTTCTATACTCTAGAATGATGCCTTTTCAATGCACATGAAATGCATTATTTTTTCAAAACACAAACCAATTATAGTTCACAAATCGCTAACAATATTTTACTCTTTTTTCAGAGCAAGAGCACAGCAGCAAGGAAAGACAGTTAGAGAAATGCTGAATAGAAACAGAAGGTATAAAAATCTGATGTTTGGCACAATAATTTATACTTCTGACTATTGTCACGAGACATCATGGACATAACATTAGTTAACTTGTTCATGGGTCACCAAGGTTATTTTAAGCTTATTTGGTTGTTATAAATTAAAATGTGTCTTTGTATGCTGAAGACAACATGATAGGATTATACGAATGCAAACAAATTTTTGCGGTTGAATATAAAAGTGGTATGCCACTTTTTTTTGTTGAAACCGAATTACCAATAAAATGCTTCGCTGAGCGCAGCCTGATACGACTGCAGAGGTCCAACCCTAAACAGATGTGGCAAATTTGGACACAATATTCAAGCTTGATACTATCTAAATTTGGTTTGTGATCAAATTTTTGACATAATATAGGTTTCTGACACGAAATAAATGTGGTCAAAGATCTTACAAATCTAATGCGCAATACTGTGCAATTGAATATTTCTCCTTGAAACTTTTCAAAAATTTGAAATTTGAAATATTTTGAAAAAAAACATATAAACCCCTTAAAAAAATTGGAACCCCCTCCCCCCCACCAACTGTTTGACCCCCCCCCCCCCCCCCCTTTGGAGCAATAACCATCAAACTCAATCCAAGCCTTTCCTTTGTAGTATGGTACCTTGTAGTTCAATTTTAGAGAGATCCATACACTTAAACACAAATTACATGTATTGTCTGGAAACTAGAAAAATGTTTGTTTTTAGTCCTTTTTTGCCCCTAATTCCTGCATGTTTAGGGCAATTACCCCCAAACTCAATTCCAGCCTTCCCTTT